TAAATATTTAAAAAAAATAAAAAAAAAAAAAAAAAAAGTCAGATCAATCCTTTCTTAAAGACTTAAACATGAAAGTACCATACTACCTAGCAATTGCACTCTTGGGCATTTATACCAGAGAAATGAACACTTATGTTCACTCAAATATCTGAACACAAACATTCACAGTAAGTCTGCAATAGCCTCAAACTGGAAACAACCCAGATGTCCCTCAACAGGTGAATGTTTCAATAAACTGTGGTACAACCACACCATGGAATGCTACTCAGAGATAAAAAGGAATGAACTACTGATGTTTCCAACAACCTGGATGAAGTTCCAGAGACTTACAGAGTGAAAAAAAAAAAAAATGAATCCCAAATGTTTGCATACAATATGATTTCTTTATAGGGCATTTTTTTTTTTAAATAGAGGCATGTTTTATTTATTTATTTGTTTGTTTTGTTTATACATGCACTGGGTACAGTCAGAAGTGTGGGAGGGTGAGAGAATTCACCAGAGCCAGAGCAGGGAGCAGAGCAGGCAGAAGGACCGAAGTACACTGCTGAGGGGAGCAGCGGGCAGCAGGAGAGGTCTGCGCGCCATGTGGGACACTCCTCTGGTGGCCGGGAACAGCCGGGGATCGAACCAGCGCCGCAGAGGCCAAGGGAAGCTTTGCAAGCCAGCGCTCAACCGCTGCGCCACCCGGGAGGCTATAGGGCATTCTTGAAATGGAGAATAGATTAGTGGTTGTCAGGGGTAAAGGAGTGAATGAGAAAGAAGTGAAAATAGTTACAAAAAGGCAGTGTGAGAAATGGTAACAGTAATATAAGTATACTGTATCTTAATAGCATAAATGTCAATCTGCCTAAAATTAAGAACAACCTGATATCGAATTAACAGTCAAATTGTTGAAACTATTTAGGTACAGGTATGATAGAGTACTCCAGTATCATTTGATTTCCACTAACCATATCTCATATCCACCTATTGCACATTTGGGCCTCTCAGATATTTATTGCTTAAAAATATAAATAAATATCAAATGAGACATCAATATCATTACAACTACATTGTACTGACTTGAATGGCTAGAGTTCCTGAACCACATGTCAAGAAATGACCTAGTTCAAGCACTGTGAGCTTTATGGATGGAGGTGTTGGCTAAGATCCAGAGGAGTTGAAGGAACTTCCAAGCCCATAAAACTGGTGAAGTGTAGAGTTAAATTAAATTCTTGCTCAGACTTCTTTTCTGTTCATAATAATTTTGAAGAAAAGGTCAGATGAATGGAGTATATGTATTAGAAGAAGGAATATATAAATTTCAGTGGGAACAAGAAATAGGTTGTCTGAAAAAGCAAAGATATATCAGTCTATTTGGCTCCTCCAAATTAAGAAACAGAAAGAGAAATTGTTTAGTATCTCCCTTGCAGTGTGTCTCTGGCAGAACTAATAGCTGGTAAACAAAAGGACTCTTTAGGGTCAATCTGCTCAGACCTTAATCTGTAAAGGTGGGTTAATTGAAGCCTATGGGTGGAGATGAGCTGGCAATCCTGCTGGAGTGTGGACACTGAAAGCGAGTTTCTTACTATATTCAGCTTTCCTTGCTCATGTGAAGAATATTCCAGAAATTAAAAAAGGTGGTTAGTTTAAAAGAAAAAGAAATTATCATAAGTCTGCCAGTGTGATACTCTACCAGCAGTGCCTGCAGCCTTTTTTTGAAAGGGAAAATTAGGAACTGGGAGGGAAAAGAAGTACTTACCTCCCACCACTTAAGAAATATGACGGTAGTTCTAAGCTTTCAGTATTGAAAAAGATTGACTCATACTCCATCATAATGCAGTTCTTCTTAAACAAAAAATAATACTACCAATCGTTTGCTTTGAATTTCTTTCAGAATTTCCAAAATAAAAGAATTTCCATCACATTCTAATGCTCTTCTGCAACCTCTTTCTTATAACATACGAAAAAGTTAATTATATTTAGTGTGCTTGCTTCTCAGTTTCTGCAAGAATATTCCCAACACGTGCCCTACATCCATGGCAGTTACGCTGTGCTTTCAAATATATACATTCTGTTTCGCTTTCCTTTTCCACCTTGTAGTTTTCTGGCGTTGTGCCTTGGGTATTTTGGAAATCATCACCTGGATTTTAAAAATAACTAAATTCAGTTTTCTTTAGTCTGTTCCTTTCCCTTGCCAACCCTCCTTCCTCTAACGCTGATAGTGATAACCTGATTCCCTACTTTTCTCTTACTGGCCCTTATATCTGTTGCATATATCCTCCAACCACTTGACATGCAAGAAATAGCATTTTAATGTCATAAAGGGTTGCACAACCAAGACTTCCTTATCCTGCTATTCACCTTTGTTAGTAATGACTTCCTTAAATGACTCATAATGACTTTTCGTAATTTTAAATTGACGCTTTTGGGGCTCTAGCCATTTCTGGAATAGATTTTTTTCCCTTTCTGTCTATGTGTTTGTTAGTCCAAACTCCTTTATGCTTTACTTTTTATGTTTCTCACCAAATGAATTTGCCAGGACATATAAAAGAAATAAGGTTCATCATCCTCTTCATCCCCTGATCCAAGATTGCCATTAGCACGTCTCTTTATCACCACCTCCTGGAGAAATGACTACATGGTTTATGAAGTCACCTGACTAGAAAACAGAGGCAGTTTTGAATATTTAATAATGTCTCTATATTACAGGATTACATTGTAATGGGGAAAAAACCCCATATATCAGAAACGCAATTACCTGATTATACTTTTTAGAAGTATCCATAGCATATCCATATCCATATGGATATCCAAAATATCCATATTCATTTTCACAGAGAGAAAAGAAGAAAGGAAAAAAATACAAACTGTTTTTTAAAAAAATAAATTTTATTTTTATATTCCCCATACAATTGCAATCCCCTTATTTTGACCCCAATCCCTCCTTTCCCCGCCCTCCCCCACCACCCATGGAGTGTCTCTGGTTCATAGTTGTTTGTTGATTTTGATTTTCACTTTCTTATAGTTGTTCATTTTCCTGGTCCCTTATTTAAGTTTTCTAGATTCCTGCTATGAGTGAGACCATCTGGTATTTTTCTTTTTCTTTCTGGCTTATTTCGCTGAGCATGATCCCTTCCAGCGCCATCCATGTTGCTGCAAATTGCATGTGTTTATCTTTTTTGAATGCTGAGTAATATTCCATGGTGTATATGTACCACATCTTCTTGATCCAGTCATCTATTTTTGGGCATTTGGGTTGTTTCCAAAGCTTAGCTATTGTAAATAGTGCTGCTAAAAACATAGGGGTGCAGGTGTTCTTTGGAATTGATGTTTCTGTGTCCTTTGGGTAAATACCTAGGAGTGGAATTGCTGGATCATATGGAAGCTCTATGTTTAGTAGGTCCAGAAATCTCCACACAGCTCTCCATAGTGGTTGGACCAGTTACAAACTGCTTTTTTAACATGACTGCAATGACTAGAGATACAAGAAATGGTTAATATACAAACTATTAAAATTTTATTTTATTTTTTATTGAGGGAATGTTTGTGTTTTAGAGGTAAAGGATCTCTCACCTCTTTGTTTTTCTTTTTTGTTGGAGATGAAACTGCAAAGACATCTCTGAAGCCTACGTCATGGAAAGTTTCGCCTATGTATTTTTCTAAGTATTTTATGGTTTCAGATCTGACATCCAAAGTCTTTTATCTATTTTGAGTTGACCAATTCTATTCAATTGGCCTACGTGTCTGTTTTTGCTGTAGTAATATACTGTTTTGATTCCTATAGCTTTGTGGCACACTTTGATGTCTAAGTGTGTGATAGAGTCACTTTTTGTCAGAATTGCTTTGGTATTTGTGGTCCCATATGAATTTCAGTAATGTCTGTTCTACTTCTTGGAAGAATTCTGACAAAACTTTGACAGGGATTGCAATGAATGTGTATATTGCTTTGTGTAGGATGGCCATTCTAACATTGTTAATAATTCTAATCCACGAGCAGGGAATATCTTCCCATTTCCTAGTGTGTTCTATTTCTTTTAGCTTTATATTTTCTTTGTATATAACAATATGTTTTAGATTTCTTTGTATACGTCTTTCACCTCATTTATTAAGTTTACTGCTAGGTATTTAATACTTTTATATATAATTGTAAATGAGATTGTTTTCTTGATTCCTTTCTCTTTTAGCTCATTGTTTGAGTATAGTAAGGCAAATGATTTTTTTTGTCCCATTGACTTTTCAGCAAATGCCTCTTTAACTCGTCACCCAGAATTTTGGCTAGTTATTTCCTCTTCCCTGCCACCCTTGTGCTTGGCACAAACCTCTTTTAGAACACTCCCTACTTGATTTATTAATGCATGTCATCATCATTGTTCTGTGAATTACAGGATATGAAAGGCTGTCTTACACATTATGTCGTAGTAACTGACACTTAATGGGTGTTCAACAAAAGTTTATGGAGGTGACAAGTGGTATGGTCTGGTATCACTTCACCTGGGAAAATAAGAAAATGTCTGATGTCCTTTAGTAAGCGAAATAGCAAAGGGTTGCCAGGGAAATGGTCTCACACTGCACACTACTGCTGTGGCTTCTAAGAGAATACAGATATTCTAGCGCTACGAATTAATTTTTGCAGCTACGAGATCACGTACATGAAAGCGCCACAATCACCTGCATTTTACTACTAACTACCCTGAGGGAGGGAGATTGAAGAATTCGCCGAAGATTAAAAGGAATGCAATTTCCTAGGGTTTCGATACCTCGACGTGCGCCTCACAATCTCTGGGCGCACATCAATGAGGAACGGTCAGGAACCCAGACCAAACAAATCGAACTCAACATTCGCCCCAGAGCCTGATTGAGACGCGCAGGGACTTACTGCACATGCGTGGTTTTCCTCTGGGCGTGGGAGGAACCGGCATTTGCTCTGGTGGAGACCGGGAGGCGAGCGGGCGCGGGGGTGGGGCCACGCTGTTTCCAAGGTGACGGCGTGGCGGCCTCGGTGGTGGATTGAGCGGGTCTGATCAAGGTTCCCAGAGGGCAGCGCGTCCTCAGCTGCTCGGCGCTGTCATGGCGGGTTTGCTGAAGAAGGTGAGGAGCCTGGAGGTCACTGCTGGAGTTTTGGACTGTGAGGGTACTCGTCCCGCGAGTGCATGGCCCAGACTTGCCCGTGCTTTTTGGGGGGCTCTTTCTGTTCTGCTTACAGGGGTGATCAGTTTAGTGGCTCCACTCGGAGTGATCAGTTTAGTGGCTCCGAACAAGCTGCACCGAGGGACGCGTAACTGGTTTTCGACCAGCTTTAGCCCGGGGAGTGGTGATTTTGCTTTTCTTTAGCGTCATGAACTCAGAATTGCTGTAAACAGCGTGGATCTTGTTTTGTTTTTGAACAGACCACTGGCCTTGTGGGATTGGCTGTATGTGACACTCCGCATGAGGTACGTACCTCTTTTCTTTCTTGATACCGGAGTTCTCGAAGAAGACTAGAACCTTACGACCTTGTTTGTTGAAAGGCTAAGGGGATACGTGTTTTTTATACCCAAAGTTTCAATTTAGTGTGAGCTCCTCACACAAGAGAGATATTTAATTAATGAACCGTTGCCGCGTCTGTTCCCCCACCGTCCCCCTCTCTCCCCGTCTTCTTCTTTATAAAACTTTTCTTATTCACATTTTCCGTGCCATTCTACTGGCTTCATTTGTATTTATTTGAAAGCCCTGCCAAATCACTGTCTCCATTTCCCATCTTTACCCCCCACCTCTCGGTTTCTACCTAGATGTGCTAGATTACATACACTTTTGCTGACCAGCAATATCAGTCTAGCAATTGCCCCCATTTGTTACCAGTTTTCCATTCTAGTAGGTCTTCCTCATCACTAGACATGTTTCCATCTAAGCAAAAGCTGAGAAAACCCTTCTCCATCCTCTCTTGATAATCCACATTTTTCGCCCTCCCTTTATAGATACCCCCCCCCAAAAAAAAAAGAATGATCTGCACTTAACTGTTACCAATTTATCTTAAATTCTCCTTGAACATACTCCAATCAGTCTTGGCCAGACTTTTCAAGGTCATCATGATCTCCCTGGTGCTAAATTCAGTGCTCATTTCATGTTTCTCATCTTAATTGACCCAATGATAACATTTGACACTGTTTCCATTAAGTACTTTTTCTTTACTGTGTTTCAGGAAAAGCTTACTCTTCTCCCCCCACCCCATTACTTTTTCTTGTCTTCTTTTCTGGTGGTGCCGCATTTCCCCATTTCTGTATTTTGGAGTTCTATGACTTAGTTCTTTGACCTTTACTCTTTTTGTATTTGCTCATCCCAAGTGTCTGGGCCTCATCTGATGGCTTTTAAATACCACCTTTACACCAAATACTGTTAGATTTCCAATCAAGCATTGACCTCTCCCTTCATTAAGATCTTGCCTATTTAATTGTTTAGTGGCTATTTCCACTGGATGTCATACAGGCAACAAACTTAACATGTCCAAAATTGGGTTCCTGATCTCCTTAATACCTCTCTTCTATAACCTTGCCCATCTTAGTGAATGACACTGCCATTCTTCTAGCTCAGGTCAGAAACTTTGAAATCATCTTTAGTTTTGTTTTGTTTTGTTTTTTTCATTTGGTACTTTAATAAATACACTGGCTTCTGTTCTCAAAAAGTATCCATATTTTGACTACTACTCATCACTTCCTCTGCTAATAACCCTGTTCTCAGTCACCATAATCACTGCTGTGGATAGTTGCAGTTGCTTCCTGACTGCCTCCCCTTCCTTCAGCTTGCCTGAGTTTTGTCTTTTTTCATCTTGACTAATTAACCCTGCAGTAGTTTCATCAAACTAATTAGCCCTCAACATAAGTTGAGGCAGGTTACTCCCTCCCTCAAAGTCCTCCCTTTGGTTTCCATTCATTCTTAAACAAGTCCTTCTAGTGGTCCTCTCTATTCCTAGTCAACATTATTTTGACTTATCCTCTTTTCTCTACTAGAATGTAGGTTTTCATGAAGGCATCATTTTAAAAAAAAAATTGTTCACTGCTAGAACTATAACTAGGCATGATATGTGCTCAGTGAATAATGTTTTTTTGAATAAATGTTTTATATCCATGAGTTAATAGTGACTTAGACGATCTAAAACTTTTTTTTTTCCTAGACCTGTTTCTTCTACTGTGGGCTCCATTTCTCTTAATGCTATCAGTATTTTTCCATTCCCTAGCCTGGGGAATGTTGCATAGTTGCTGCATCATAGTTGCTACTTCCTTTACTCTTATATCTGCATGTTCATTATATAGACACATTCATTAAATAGACGAGTTCTTTTCTATAACAGCTCTGCAATCTGGCCTCTCTTCTCTATTCCTGCTGTTATTACTGTAGTTTTGTCCCTTGCTTTTGTTTACAACACCTTTGCACTGGCCTTTCTAACTATTGCTTCTTCATCCTGTCCTTTTTACTTGCTACTACGAGATTAATTTTCCTGAAATAGATTCAGTTACATAACTTCTCTAAATCTTTTAATTGCATACAGAATAAAGTCCCAATACTTTAACTTGGCATGCAAAACCACTTAAACAATCTGCTTCATTTTTGTCCAACCTTATAGCCTAAGCATTTCCCATTGTCTTTTGTTTTAGCAGCGTGCTATCCAATAAAAATAAAAGTCACAAATGTAAGCCATGTTTGTAATTTAAAATTTTGTAGCAGTCACTTTTTAATAAAGAAAAATATAAAAGTTAATACTGTATTTTTAGACCTAACATATCCAAAATGTTGGATATGTTAGGTCTAACATATAGTAAGATATTAAAAAAGTAGTATTTTATAGTTTTTCATACTAGATTTAGTTAGTATGTATTTATTTACATTTATAGCACATCTCAGTTTAATACTAGCCACATCTCAAATGCTCAGTAGCCATATTTGGCTAGTGGCTCCTATATTGGACTACACAGATCAAGAAAAATAGAACTATATTATATACTGATTCCTTTATAATCCCTGTATTTTCTGCCATTCAACCCCATGTATGTGTGCTATATTTATAATCACCTTTTCCAGCATCATTAAGTGTTCAGGTCCTACCACACTTCTGGTCTCTCCGTCTCATGCTGACTTTTCTATGAACTCTGCTGTGCTAGTTACCAAAGTGACTTCTCTGTACTCTACAGAATAATAATGCTAACTCTTGTTGAAAGTTAATGTGTGCCAAGTACTGTTTAATTTATACAGCACCCTTTGAAGCACATATTAATATCTCCATTTTACAGATGAGGAATGAAAGCTAGAAGAGTAAGTAACTTGTCTAGTACAACTAAGAATTGAACCTGTGTGTATCAGGCAGTCAAGTTGTAGTTAGCACATTTAAGTATTGTCTCCCTGCTCTGCGTCTTTTCCCACCCCTACTACATGCACACTTATTTTATATTTTATGGTGTTTTCCAGTTTTTTGCACACTTATTTTATATGTTATGGTATTTACTATTTTTTTTTCTTTTCTTTGTTTTATCCTACACGACCTTAAACAATATGGGGGTGAAATTGTGTCCAGTCTATGTGTATATCCAAAGAACTCCTAATCTACTATTGTGTATAGGAGTAGTGAGGAGTACATATTTTATAGAAAAAAATGAATGATCTTTATATGAAGAGTTCATATACTTGTAATTATTGAATACTGGTGCTTACATGCAGGTGACCATGTCTTGTATGCCTGCAATAATGCTTTGGCATAATGATTAATAACGTCTCCTTTTACTGTCAGAAGTGTCCCAGTTTTTATGATTAATTAGATGTTCACCGTATTCATAATATTTTTTTTATGATAAATTAATCATCTCTGATTCTCATCTGTTTTCCTCCAGGAACAGATGTTTTATCAGGAAAGATTAAAGTTTAAGTCAAATTTAAAATTTTGAATCAGATTAAAGTTTTATTTTATATTAAACATTGATATATGTATTACATGTATAAGTAGGAGAGGATATGAATAAAATGTATAAAGTTTAAATCAGATTAAAGTTTTTGTAGTAACATACTTGTTAAGGAAGTATATTCATTGTATATTTGCTAAGAAAAACATAATGAAAGCAACATACAAGACAGATTGCGCAGATGGCTGCTTAGAGGCTCTTACAGGTAATCTTTACACAAAGATTACAGAAACAAAAAGGGAACAAATAATTAGGACCCAAGTCTTTTGACAAGACCTTTCTATTGTCATATCTATTCCTAAAATTTAGAAGAAATGAAGCTAAAAATAAAACCATAAATTCAGGCTACATATTATCTGATAATATCTAAAGTAATATAGTAAAATACCTTATTATGGAACATCATATTCAAATATTTAAATAATATCTAAATATGCACACTACTTTTAAGAGTAAGATTATTGAATACTCTTAGGATTTGTTTATTCATATATGAATTAGGTATTAGCTCCAATGGATTTTATATAATTAAGCTAAAACTTCAAATTAAACACAAAGAAACAAAAGAAATTACTTATGTATATTTATTGTTATATTTAGGAATTGTTTTTACTATCTACTATTACATTTATTATTTAGTAATCATTAGAATCTGCCATTACAACTTTTCACCATGTGATTTTACGTTGTTTTTTTGACAACAAAAACTACGCTAAGTCAAGCCATGGCTAAGGGGGACTGCTGTTCTTGCTTCTTTGCACATGTGTTTTCCAGTAGCAGCGAGTGCAGATACTACTCTACTGAACTTTTAACTTCACTGTGTTTTCGTATAAGCTGAGCAGAGAGTCAGTTCTCTTGTTACTTTTCTCTATTTAGCCTTTCAGTGAAATTTTCAGTCAAAATCGTAAGTGTAAACGCTAAAGTATTATGACTACATTTGTTAAATTTGATCACACTGTGTACAACTTGCACATACAGCATACTAAAGAGTTTCCATTATTTATATTCACTTTTTTTTCTAAATAAGGGGGAAAGATAGAGCATAGATATGCAGAAATTACTTTTTAAAAGGCGTTTATTAAAGTAATCTGTATTTTAAAGTATTTCATTAAATGTTTATATTTTAAACTATGAAAATTTACTCTGATTTGTCTTTTCAGAGGCTAAGAATATTGTACACAAAGATTCTTGATGTTCTTGAGCAAATCCCTAAAAATGCAGCATATAGGAAGTACACAGAACAGATTACCAATGAGAAGCTGGGTATTGTTAAAGCGGTAAGTAGCTGACTTTATTTTGTTTTCTTGGATTTATAGTATCCAATGCAGTATTTCACAAAAAAGAATCAGTTGCTTAATTTTTTCATATGTTACACACTTTCTCTTCTTATTTCTATTCTTCATTCTTTACATATTTGTATTCCATCATTCCTCCCTTTTATTCAGTAGAAAGTACTTTCTACTGGAGTGGAGGAATAAAATAAAATCCTTCCCCTAAGTTACCATGTAGCTGTTTTTTATTCTCTCTTCCCTATTCAGTCCTTTATTTCTCTTTTACTTATTATACATACATTAATTTTCATCTCTTTCTCTAGTTTCCAAGAAGAATGAAAGCAAAACAACAATAAAATATGTGTTGTATCTAAAGCAATCTGTCAGAAATAACTATTTTTTAATAGTGCTTTGCTGCAGAAGAAAGAGGATCAAATTACTCTCTTAAGTACCAAAAATTATACTGAGCATTTTCATGGACTTTGTCCAACAAAATTCCCGTATTGAAGTCCTAACCACTGTTGTGTCTGGAACCTTTAATGAATTAAGGTTAATGAGGTCATAATGTCACATAAACTTCTAAGGCATGGAAGTGATGCCTTTGTGGCTGCCAATACAGACAAAAATCTCTGTCCTATAGGATAGTGAAATTGTTATTGTGCTCCCTTGTTAAAATGTTTTCTCTTTTTCCCCCTTAAATTATAGGAAACAGATGTTAAAAAATTAGAGGATCGACTTCAGGGTGGTGAAATAGAAGAGGTGATTCTTCAGGTAAAAAAAATGTTGAATATTTACATATTTGACTTCAAATGTTCAGTGGTACAGTGTGCAAGACACAAAACTGACTTAAAGAAAGGACAACTAAATACCTTTATATCAACTCAACTCATCAAATATGAGTATTCACATATAGAAAATACTTCTATTGTGTATGTCAGTTAGATAGTCATCATATACCATGATTTTATGAAGCTTCTGTTGGAAATTTGGAGTTTGTTACTCTAAATTTAATCAGCATGTCCTTACTAGCCTTACTTCAATTCAAATAGTAATATAAACTTACTGTTGTTTTTTTTTTTTTTTTTTTTTAATATTAAATTTTATTTTTATATTCCCCCATACAATTGCAAACGCCCCATTCTGACCCCAATCCTTCCCCTCCCGCCCCCCACCCCCCAACAAGTGTCTCTGGTTCATAGTTTTTTGTTGATTTTGATTTTCACTTTCTTATATTCATTTTCCTGGTCCCTTATTTAAGTTTTCTAGATTCCTGCTATGAGTGAGACCATCCGGTATTTTTCTTTTTCTTTTTGGCTTATTTCGCTGAGCATGATCCCTTCCAGTGCCATCCATGTTGCTGCAAATTGCATGTGTTTATCTTTTTTGAATGCTGAGTAATATTCCATGGTATATATGTACCACATCTTCTTGATCCAGTCATCTATTTTTGGGCATTTGGGTTGTTTCCAAAGCTTAGCTATTGTAAACAGTGCTGCTATAAACATAGGAGTGCAGGTGCTCTTTGGAATGGATGTTTCTGTGTCCTTTGGGTAAATACCTAGGAGTGGAATTGCTGGATCATATGGAAGCTCTATGTTTAGTAGGTCCAGAAATCTCCACACAGCTCTCCATAGTGGTTGGACCAGTTTGCACTCCCACCAACAGTGCACAAGAGTTCCTTTTTCTCCACATCCTCGCCAACATTTGTTGTTGCTAGTTTTTTTAATATGTGCCATTCTCACTGGTGTGAGATGGTATCTCATGGTAGTTTTGATTTGCATTTCCCTGATTCCAAGTGATGTTGAACATTTTTTCATATGTCTGTTGGCCATTTGCATTTCCTCTTCAGAGAAGTTTCTTTTTAGCTCTTCTGCCCATTTTTTGACTGGATTATTTTCTTTGTTGTTGCTGAGTCTCATCAGCTCTTTGCAGATTTTTGTGATCAGTCCTTTATCATTAGTGTTGGGTGCAAAAATGTTCTCCCAGTTGGTGGGGTTTCTCTTTGTTTTTGTTATTGTCTCTTTTGCTGTGCAGAAGCTCTTTAATTTGATGTAGTCCCAGCTGTTTATCTTTCTCTTCACTATCACTGCTTTGGGTGATGTGTCTGTAAAGATGTCTTTGATGTGCAAATCCCGTAGTGTTTCGCCTATATTTCCTTCTATGTATTTTATGGTTTCAGGTCTTATGTCTAGTTCTTTAATCCATTTTGAGTTGATTTTTGTGTATGGTGTGAGGTAGTGGTCAAGCTTCATTCTTTTGCATGTAGCGACCCAGTTTTCCCAGCACCATTTATTGAACAAACTTTCTTTGCTCCAATGCATAGTCTTTGCTCCTTTGTCAAAGATTAGTTGACCATAAATCTGTGGGTTTATTTCTGGATTTTCTATTCGATTCCATTGGTCTGTATGTCTGTTCTTGTTCCAATACCATGCAGTTTTGATGATTATGGCTTTGTAGTAGAGTTTGAAGTCTGGGAGTGTGATGCCTCCATTTCCTTCTTTTTTTTTCAGTAGAGCTTTGGCTATTCGGGGTTTTTGGTGATTCCATATGAATTTCATCAATAATTGTTCTATTTCTTTGAAGAATGCCATTGAGATTTTGATTGGAATAGCATTGAATCTGTATATTGCTTTTGGTAGGATGGCCATTTTAATAATGTTTATTCTTCCAATCCATGAGCAGGGGATGTCTTTCCATTTCTTTGTGTCTTCTTCTATTTCTTTTAACAGTGAATATAAACTTACTGTTGTTTTAATTGTTTTATCTTTTCATATACAAACACTTATTTAAATATGGAAAAATAGATGTTTTGAATCGTAAAGTTAAAATGTACATTTTAGTTTCAACTGTTGGAACAATCAACCAACTTAACATTTGCTGGAGAAACAATTTTCACTTTATTAGTTACATTTAATATATTAAGTCCTAAATTACTTTATCTGAGATTTTTTTTCTTCTCCCTTATTCTATAGCCACTCTCTGTCTCTCTCTCTATATATATATGGAACAAAAAATTAACTTTTTATGTATTGCCCATACTTTTTTTTTTCAGTTTTGCCTTTTGTCTACAACTGAATATTTTTCCCATATGTGAATTTTTTAAACTTTTTTATTTGATCAAGTCAAAATTTTTATTTGATCGCTACCCCTTGGCAACACCTCCTCTACCCCAATATTTTAGGCTTGGAATATTTTCTCCCTAAGGGATTGATAAATAAATGAATATTCAATTCTATTTCATTTAATTCTTATATTTTCTTGCTTTTTAAAAATATATAGCCACGTTTCTTTAAGTTTCTTTATTTAGCTAAGGTTATAAAGGATATATTGGGTAGTATTGGAAACTAGGGAGACTTATCACCAACAGACATCATACACAAGTTGGAAACAATTATTAAAGGTCCTGGAAAAAGAATTATGGCATTCAGACAGCACTTTTATGAATGTACACTATTCAGTCATTCAAAGGCCTATTTTCCTAGCCTTTCTCTGCTTGCCAGGTCAACTATGATACTAGATGTAATGTTAAGGGAATTTGATGCAAATTTCGTGTTGATGATTTCTTCCTGTTCCTGTAGGTAGTGGCTACCATATTGGACAGCCCGTTTCTGGAAGGATAGTATGAAAGGAATAAAAGGAAAAAAAGGACAATGTGTCAAAAGCCAGAGAAGCAGGAGGAAGTTGACAACAGGGATACATGCTGCCATGTTTAACTTTCTGAAGTTGGACAGACTTCTGTAATGTTTTAGACTAGATACCTTCCCCACACCTCATAATGCTTTGGGGGCATAGAGAAATCATGATTTCCAAGAGACCTAGACCAGAACACAGGGGAATAACTATCCTCAGTTCTTTTAAATCAATATTTGTATTTTCTCATTTCAGTATTAGTAAATTCTACCCCTCAGTTTCCATTAGTCTCTTTTATTGTTTGTATATATTTTAAACTGTTGCTGCTAAATTTTGATTGGCTGTTTTGCACCACTGACATAAAGGAAGAATTGCCTTTTTACTATAGAATTGTAGCCTCTAATAGAGTTTAAGCTCTTACTCAGTGTTGAATGCCTTCTTCGATATGGTGACATACATTAAACAGTGTCCAGGGTTCTCATAGGACTTTTTGTTGTAGGGAAAAAAAAATGTGAGATAAAAAGATTCCTAAAACATACTTGTTAAATATGTTATAAAATGTTTTTGAGAGGAAAAATTAAATACAACAAAACCTGGTTAAGGGCACTAATTCAATCAATCAATAAATATTTTTTATGGCCTATTCTTTTATATTCCACAGGTCATTGTTTTATAAAATGTGGTGCTCAGGTGATTATAGGTCAGGTGATTACGTGGATTGTGACTAGCATTTACAAAAAAAAAAAAAAAGCTGTAGAAAATAGTGTATTGCAGCTATCAGAGGTAGTATTTTTAGTTTAGTCTTGTTTTAGTTACATATGTGTATTGTGGATTCCATAGTAATATATTTTTGTTTTACTGTTTGGCCATGGTAAAATAATGTTTGCAAGCCACTAACATAGATGAAGAAACATACTTGTGAGCCTCACAGAATTTGTAGTCTAATGGTGAAGAAGACAATTAAGATTGAAAACTCACCAACTAAACTTTTGGACACTTTAATTGCAAATTTTAATTAAATGGAAGAAATCAGAAGACATCCTTTCTTACTCATGGTGATTTTGTAGCTGTGAGAATTAAAGTAATTTAATTAATAATGTTCAGTGTTTGATGATATACAGTATATTATGTATTAATATGAAAGCAATACTCTAATAGTAAAATTTCAGTTGTTAGCTATGATAGAAGTCTACCAATCTACATAATCAAATTATCTTTTTAACAATTTTTTTTCAATAGGCTGAAAATGAACTAAGTCTGGCAAGAAAAATGATACAATGGAAACCATGGGAACCTTTAGTGGAAGAGCCTCCTGCCAACCAATGGAAATGGCCAATATAATGACATGTGTGTTGATGAGAAACTGATGCAATTAAATGTTCTGTTAAATTTAAAATGTTTCCATATTATTGACATCGTATAATCAAGAAATCTGATACAGAAGATATTTAGAAGATTTGTTAATATTGAAGATTATGATAATAAGGACACATAAATCAGTTTTTGACTTATAAAGCATACATTGGAAAGATAGTATTATTTCATTATTTCAAAGATAGTATTTCTTTAAACAGTTTATGGGAAGATCTGAAAGTTAATTGGAAAAATCCCTATAAATTTTCAATGCAGAGGTCATATTCAAAAGAGGAAGTGTTTTAGTGGCATCTTCAACAAATATATAGGTGATTATTTCACAAAAAGTAGTTAAGAAACAAGAGTAAAAAGCATCAAAGTAGAATTCATTATAGCAGCCGAGAACTTGATTTGGCATTTAAAAGAGATTTCTTGTTTAAAGTGGTATTTGGGGAAACTTCCCCTTTTTTTCATTTAAGACTTTGCTTTGTGGCCCTTAACCTATGTTTTCTTGATTAACTAAACTACCATTAAAATAAAAGTAGAATTTCTGTGAAAGAAGACACATTAAGTTCCTAAAGTTTGCCTGTGATACAGATAGACATCAAAACATATTTGTATAATTATATCTTCTAAGTGGGATCACTAGTTTTCACTAAGTTTCCAATATAAATGCTGCTGGCTGTCAAAAAAAAAAACCAAAAAACAATGTTCAGCATGAGAAAAGAATTGTGCTTTTCTTTTTTCTAATATATTTCTCCCCCTATAGAACTGTAAGTTAAATGCTAAATAAATTGGATTGAGTTACCTTTTAGCAGTCAGACTGCAGGAAAGCTCCTGTTGGGAAAGTGGGAAAAGCACTAGAGGGTGAGTCAAATTTTCATGATTCTGACAACCATAATAAACTCAGTGACTAAGGTGAGGAAAGTTGTTGAGCTCATAGAATGGCTCACTTTCTGCTCTAGAAGAAGTAGGATATATACCTTCCTTTATAGTTCTAAACATTTTAATGTATAATACTTTGCTTTAATGTATAATACTTTTATTTATTGAGGTCAAAATATATGATCCTAAAGCATGTTTCCATAAATACTTTCAAGGTAATTTTTTAACCATTTTTTTCAGGTCTTTGGGCATACTTAAAAATGGAAAGATGGCTTGATATGTCTGTCATACTTTCAACATCACTTCTCATGATTCTTGGGCATCTCATATATTTCACCAACAGAACTTCTGTGGCTATTAGTAAAAGGGGCCCTTACTAATGTTTGCATTAGTGATGCTAGTCGTAACTTAGTGGTCATCATAATAAGATAATCATATCTAGTGTTAGTGTTAGCTAGGCACTGTTGTAAGTATTTGACTAATTTCGCTCACTAAATTTGCCCCACAACTCTTAAGAATGAAATACAGCAAATTATCTCCATTTTTCAGTTTAGGAACCTAGAATGCAGTGTGAGTAGTTCTTCCCTGTAATTATTCGACATGGGAACTCGGGAGAAACTGAAGCATAAGATGGTGTAATAACATACCCAAAGTCACATAGCTAGTAAAATTTGAACCTAGGCAATCTTGTCCAGAGCTCATGCATCTAACATGTTATTTATGAAAATTCTTGGGGTGCTGTCACGGCTGCCTGTACTCTCTGGGCTGCAGCAAGAGAACCTGGATCTTACTTTCTTGACTTTTCTATCAAAGTACCTATAAATAGGTATGAACAGAAGTAGTTAACTATATAGTTTTGTGTGATTTGGAATTTCAAACACTTTTGTTACTTATGGTTTCAGAAAAGGAACTATCAATTTGTATTGCCAGGCTCTTAACAAGCTCATATTTGTATTATAATCCAAATTTTATCCATACAGATGAAGTATAATTTTAAAAGTATAATTTTATGTCCATGTTTTTCTAAATTTTAATTTTTTTCTAATTCATTCCTTATATCAAGATACATTTTTTTTTCAATCTGAAAAGAGTTTTACTTAGCCTTTTTTTATTGTGGAAAATTTCAAATACACATAAAGTAGAAAGAATAATACAATGAAGCTCCAGATGCACGTCACCAACTACCCTAATTATCATGTGGCCAACTCTTCTACTATATGTTACGACTGGAATTATTTTGAAATACACCCCAAATCTATAATTTTCCTTGTTAATATTTGAGCAGGTATTCCTAAAATATAAGGACACCAAAAATATGAAACCACAATATCATCATTCTGGACATGTGAGACATGTCAAGAATCTCAAGAACCCCCTCCATCTTTTTCTCCTTGTAATTAATTTGCTGAATAAACCAGATTGTTTATCTGGTAGAATTTCATACAGTCTAGAAGCTGTTGATTCTATCCACCTGGTTTTGGGTCCAGAATTTTAATCCTATCAGGGTTGTGTATCAAGATATATTTTAACCTGAAGTAACAATGGGGAATACTTTGAAATGAGTGATTCTATAACGCCACTAGGTGGCATCTTTGTAAAAATAACACATGAACAAAAATGTATAAAAAACAAAGGTAGATGTTTCATGAGAAGTAATCAGTCATTTTAGGCAATACATCCTAAGAAAATGCATCTTTTTATTATAAAAAGTAAAATGGAAAAAATGTTGTAAAATTACTTTTCCACTTTGAAAATTGAGTTTTTTCCTCTTGGTTGTTTTTAGCTTGCATTTATTTTGTATAACCAAACAACTGTATTTGTGTGCGTGCATGTTTTGATGTGCTAGTAGCCTTTCCAAACTGCATAGATTACCTAGAAAGCCTACCAACTAAACGAGGCTCCTATGTAAGATGAGCTGTGTAAGATCGTTTCCACAGCAAAATATAAATAACAAAATATGAACATATGGTGGGTATCACATCACATTTAACACTGAACGACCTGAAGTTCTCTACCACCAGGTTTTCTTCTCTCCATCTCCTACCACTATTCCTAAACCTGGTGTTTTCATACTTCCCTAACATGAAGAACAATAAATAAATTTTTAGAGAGGAGAACTAGAAAAGGTTAAGTATTTAAACTTAGCTAGTCGAATTCTCATTACTAGTAAAATTTAAGATATGTGATGATTTTTGAGATGGGAGGGGGGAGTGTTTGGAAGAAGTCGCGCACCTACATACCTTTAATGATTTACCCATTAAAGACTAACACTACTGATTATCTGTATGCCTCCCACCCCTCCTTACTCTACTCTTCATGGGGATTCATAAAGTGGTTTAAATGCATTTGATTTTATTTAAAACATTATTAAAACAATTTTTTTTAAGATTTATTTATTTATTTTTACAAGCACTGGGTACAGTCAGAAGCACGGGAGGGTGAGAGAATTCACCAGAGCCAGAGCGGGGAGCAGAGCAGGCAGATGGACCGAAGTACACTGCTGAGGGGAGCAGCGGTCGGCAGGAGAGGTCTGTGCGCCATGTGGGACCCTCCTCTGGTGGCCGGGGAGCAGCCGGGGATCGAACCGGCGCTGCAGAGGGTGCAGGCAGCTTCACAACCCAGCGCTCAACCGCTGCGCCACCGAGAATTTTTTATTTGAGCATATATTTCCTATTTAACCTAGTAAGTTTTAAAATGGGGTGCAGATAAAAGCACTGGGAGTTAATGAGATGAGAATCCAATTTCAGAATGGTATAAAGGAAAAAAGACACTGAAAATTAGGCAAGTGCCTGGCCTATTTATAACATTTTAATTTTATTGATTGGTCCTTCTTGAATATCAGTGTAAAGCATAGCATAAAACTGGTTTAAAATCAAGGCTCAAGTCAGACCACTTGGGTTTAATCCTGGTTCCTGCCATTAAACCTCTCTGAACCTTGATTTCCTCAGTAAAATAGGGCTAATCACAGTTCTTTAAAAACATAGGGATTAAATTAGAAATATGTGTAAAAAGTGCATAGCAACAAATAGTACTTAGTAAATATTAGCTATTGTTAGGAAATGATATGAACTTTACTACTTTTACAACAGGAACATAATATAATGTGTTATGTTCCCTAATAATAATGCTTTTTCGAAAATCTCAATTGGAAGAATTTATAGTGATAGGAGAAATAAGAAAAGCCTCCTGACATAAAAGGAAAATTATTTAATAACTTCCGTCTCCCGTTCCTCTCTGGTTGCCAGGAAGCGAAGACCTAAGTCCAAAGGTTAAAAACAGCATGTACTCTGGTACCAATATTCTTTGTCAATACCTTCATTCTCACTACATATTTATATTTTCTCTACTCCTGGGAGTTGGGTTTTGTTTTTTTTTTTTTTATAAGAGTGAATTGCTGTCTGTTTAGACTGGAGAATTGTTCCCCTTTACTAGCGTAAATGGGAGGGTGGTTAGTGTCCCACCTACTTTCAGATGCAGGTTAACTGAGAAGTAAACCCTCTCCCCTTCACCCCGCCCCTCTCCCTGCCTCATCCCTTGATCACACACACACACACACACACACACACACACACACACACACACACACACACACACACACACACACACTCCTCAGCCCAGGGAGGCGTGATGGGAGGGGCGCGGCGCGGTTGCTAGGATACATTCAGCAACTGAGAATCCAAGTGAGTGAGGACGCTGCTGCTTAGGATCCCTAGAAATCGCTTTGGTGGAATAGCTGCGTTTCCTAGTCAGGTAGGAGACCAGCTTCTGCCCACCCTGGCCCTTAGACGCCCTTGAGCTGGGGGCTGGCGTTGGACCCCGAGGACCAAGTGCTTGGCGCTGATCTGGTCTGGGTTCTGGGTGCTGCTTGACTCGTGGGGAATGTTCCTCCTTTACTTTAAAACCATTGTGAAACTTCCCAGCCTGGAGTGATCTGCCTTTTCCCTCCATCTGCCCTTGCGCCCTGCGTTGCAGATAGAGGGTGAACAGTTTCCACTCTAACCCAGGGGAACTCTCCAGGTTTCCAGCTAGCAGTTTTGCTTTTTCTCTTGATTGAAACATATAATATGGAGCCTTTAGAAATGACGTCTTCACTTAGCCTAATTCATCTGAGATTTATCCATGTTGTTCGGTTTGTTTCCATGTTGTTCTATATCGTTTGTTAATTTTTATTGATGAGTAGTATTTCATTTTATTTTTTTAAAGATGTATTTATTTATGCATACAAGAACTGGGGTACAGGCCAGAGGTGGGGGGGTGAGAGAAATCACCAGAGAGAGAGTGGGAAACAGAATAGGCAGATTGACTGAAATACACTGATGAGAGGAGCAGTGGGCAAGTCAGGAGAGGTCTGCTGCACCATGTGGGTATCTCCCTGGCTAGGGATCGAACTTGTGCTGCAATGGCTACAGATTGCTTCATAGGTTGCATCTTAACCCCTTGGCCACCAGGGAGGCCCAAATATTCCATTTTATAGTTGTATCATATCATGTGTATCCAACCCTCAGACAAGAAATATTTGTGTTATTTCCTGTGTTTGATAATTAAGAATAAAATCTTCACAAATTTTTGTGTACAGCTATTGTGTGCATGAAGTTTTCCATCCACTTGGGTAAAGGACTCAGATTACTTGGGCATATAAGTGTATATTCAATTTTAGAAGAAAACTGACAATTATCCCAAAGGGGGTACCGATTTTCATTTCCATCTTCAAGGAATAAGAACTCCAATAGTCTTCACACTTCCTGTCACCTGCTATGTTGAGTTAATGAAAAAAATACATACACTCTTCTAATCAGCGTGGAGTGTAATTTCATGACTTGGAGTTGCATTCTCTAATAGATATTGACAGTGAGCATACTTTCATGTATTTGTTCTTGGGACTAGGACTAGAGTGAGGCCAGTGAAGCAACTAGGTCCAAATTTTTCAGGAGGCAGACATGCAGTGTAAGACAGTGTAACCACTTTTGCCTTACCCTAGTCCTAGCTTTGCTTATTTTCCTTTAAATAATGACATTTAATAGGTTGGGGAGAAGAAAGCAATCCTGACTAAAGTTGAAATTTTTTATATGTCCTTTTATTTAATGTCACAGTTTCTAAGAACCTATCAGTGACTTTAAGTGAGAATTTGCTGTATATTTTTTGGTGATGTGTCTGTTTAAATCTTTATCCATTTTCTTACTGTTTCTTACTGATTGACTTTTTAGAGTTCTTGATGTATTCTAGAGACAAGTATTTTATCAGATAGGAGTTTCACACACACAAAAAAAAATCTCTTCTACTTTTCTTCTTGATGAACAGAAATTCTTGATTTTGTTGCTGTTGCTGTTTTAGAAGATGTCATCTTGGACATTTTGGAGGGGAAGATGACCCCCTAGATAAAAACAAAACATTGCCCTCCAAAAAGGACAGATGAGTATGTTCCTAGGAGTCAGGGCTTCTTTATGATATGTTGTGTACTCAGGTCTGTAGGCTCTGTTATGGGAGTAATAACCAAATGTGGGATTCTTTGTCGTCCGGTCTAAAGAGATTTGTTTCTTGAACTTTAAGAAAATAGACTTTTCGGGGCCTCCCCGGTGGCGCAGCGGTTGAGCGCTGGGTTGCGAAGCTGCCCGCAGCCTCTGCAGTGCCGGTTCGATCCCCGGCTGCTCCCCGGCCACCGGAGGAGGGTCCCACACGGCGCGCAGACCTCTCCTGCCGCCCGCTGCTCCCCTCAGCAGTGTACTTCGGTCCTTCTGCCTGCTCTGCTCCCCGCTCTGGCTCTGGTGAATTCTCTCACCCTCCCGCGCTTCTGACTGTACCCAGTGCATGTATAAACAAAAAAACAAACAAACAAATAAATAAAATAAAATAAAAAAAATGCCTCTATTAAAAAAAAAAAAAAGAAAATAGACTTTTCGGGCGGGGAAAGGAAGGGCTTGGGGTCAAAATAAGGGGGCTGTAATTGTAAGGGGAAAATAAACATAAAATTTAAATAATAAATA